ATGAAGGAACCAAGAACATCATAACACAAACAAAGTAAAAAGTCTGGACCAAATCCTTAGTTGACGTCACTTCATTTGCATTTTAAAATTTCAAATGCCTATTACTCAGAAAATCTATTTAGTATAAAAGTGGTTTTCTAAAAGGTGTCATTTGCTCTTTAGGGCCGGTTCACACTGTGACGTAAGCAGAAGCAGAAGAAGTGTATTTTGTATGTGTGAACCTGGGAAAACAGAAGCAGAGACGGAAGCAGGTGAAAATGAAAACTTTTTCATTTTCTCCTGTTTCTGTTTCTGCTTATGTTGAAAGATCATAATTGTGAACCGAACATTATAAGCAGAAGAACATGCTTCTGTCAACTGTGAACAAGCTTCTGCTTCGGTTTCTGCTTATGTCAGTGTGARCCGRCCTTTAACAATATCGTTGCTACTGTAAAGGACAGACGGACACAAAACAGAGACGGAGAACAGAACAGTTAGCTTGCCTCAACTTGCATTTCTCGGTAGTAAAACAGTATAGAAACCCTTGTCCAGCCAAACTTTTTCGCTAACGCGATGAATGATGTACGCATTGCCGATGCTGAAGGGATTGTTCGAAGGAAATAGGGATATGTCTTTTTCCTTGAAAGAAATCCAGATGTTGCTGTAGCAGAGATCTAGAGATATATAAAGAGACAAACATAAAGTCGAAGAGAGAAAGTAATAAAAAATAATCATAAAAATATTAATGTATTATTTTTGGTTTCGTATCAAATATCTAAAGTAGAAAAAGTACGTACATATGTGAAATAGTTAAAAAAGAATAAAAGGATATTGGAAATGTTTTTAACTAAGGAGACAGAGGACTAAAACAAAAACTTAAACATGAGTTTTGTTGGTGGGTTTTCTTGTTAGTCTTCGGCCTTGGTTAAATAGAGGATATTASATGGACGCACGGAAACGGATTTTATCTTCAAATGTTGAGAAGATCGTAGTGAAAGGTTTTCAACACGAAAAGATAAAATTCGTATCTGCAAGCGACCATGTAATATTCTGTTTATCATATAATTATATATGAAAGCAAATTATGTCGTAAAATACCTTTTTTTACTTTCAATATATAGAGAAACCTCAAATGTGTGAAAATAACAAGTTTTGGAAAGAGAGAAATATAGCTATTTCATATTTAATTAAATGATAAATTATTTTATATTAGAACAGATAAAAGATTTGTATACACCATTTTAATAAGTCCCGAGATATTGTGTCCTCCGCACTTGACGTCAAGTTTATTCTTTTGAATTCCTTTTGTATCGAAAAAATTTCAAAAGAATAAATTTAAGATCAAGTGCCGAGAACTCAATACCTCGGGCCTTATTAAAAGGGTGTACAGTGATAAATTAGCTAGGTGTACTTATAAACGGTGTGGATGAATAACAGATATTACTTGTCAACAAAATAAGATATGAAATACAAATTATATATAAGGACAGTATTTCATTTAATGCTTGCTCTTTGATTCAGACGKTGGAAATTGAAGATGTTGAAATATCAATAAGTAATTGAAATTAAAAGAAATATAATAAAATATAAAATCATGAAAAAAAGTACGACATTTCAAACGTTGAAAACATCAAAATATAAATACAGTATATGAAAATATGAGTTTCTGTAGTCAATATTTTCTAAAAGGGCTTCAAAATTGATCTAAGAAGACGAGCCACAATTCCTCTCCCAAGTGCACTTAAAATTAGTGAGTGAAATCTCTCCAGCAAAAAAGTTATCTGAAACCTTTTTTTATCATTTACTCCTCTTTTGGAGTTTCATCAAAAAATAATCAAGTATATTTCTATGTAATCTTCTTCAAAATCTCATTTCATTGCTTTTCTGATCAGCTAGCATTATACACCCTTTTAATAAGTCCCGAGGCATTGTGTTCTCCGCACTTGACGTCAAATTTATTCTTTTGAATTCCTTTTGTATTGTAAAAAATTCAAAAGAATAAATTTGACGTCAAGTGCGGAGAATTCAATACCTCGGGACTTATTAAAAGGGTGTATAGGCTGTTGACATGTACTGACAAACTGACTTACCTGAACCATCTGCCAATATTTAGACGTATCTGCAAACGATCTTGCTACATTTGAACGAGCAGGACCCAAGACCATCATAACTTGCTTCTTGTTCAGATAATCAAAAAGTATCCTATTTCCCAAACCGGTTTCTCCCTAAAAGTTAAGATAGATATTAAGAGCTTTAACAACATTGACAGCGGCTTCTCGGCTTCTCGAAAAAGCGTTGTCGGGTTCAAAAGGTTACGTCTTGAAAGCTATGATTAAAAGGGAGTAGGGAAAGCGAATTTCACGAGTAAAACAGTGTTTAATTGCCAAAAGGTTGYCTACATTGAATAAAATTACCTTCTCTGAAAGTGATGCTATAATAAAACATGGTTAGGTATTTTTTTGAATTTTTGTGTACTTTCTGAACCTTTTTGCGACCCGACAACTGAAATTTAATAGGCAATGTGCAGAGCGACGCCAGCATTTTGTCCAGCAAGCATGATGGTAGTTGTAGTTCTGGTAAATATTATAGACGTTAAAATCTCTCCCTAAGAAGAGTTTTTATGTTTTATTTGTAGAAATCGTACAGATATTCTTATTTTTGCTTAGAAAAAGCAAAAACGTCTGGGAGGACAGTGTGAGTGGGGCTAAAAAAGTACGAGTAATACAACAGCCTCATGCTCTGTTGTACAAAATGGCGTCTCTGCACATCGCCTAATATTGGGTGTAATGTTAACKGTGATAACAATATGATAATCCGCCGAGTTCTGTAACTTATCAATGATGCATTCATAACAGATATAACAACCTTTGAGTCGTTCTTTAAGAGTATCAGTTCATAATCTTTCAGGATATTCGACTGGTTGTTGATCATATCAAATGCCATYTCWGCAGCTACAGGAATTCCACGACCCCACCAGTCGGATTTACCAGTCATCGGTGAGATGCATCCAATATAAAGTGGCTGTTTGGAAGAACAAAGCGGGACGGACGAAGTGAAGAAGATAGCAAAGACTGCTAACAAAATACCGCTTTCGTATAGGGAGGATTTCATCTGAAATCAGAAAGATGAATCATTTTATTCACCTATACTTTTTTACGGTGTTAAATTTATGTTTTTACACAGCTGTTATTATATAATAGGATATCTAACTTTCATTCATTGTAAACTGCCTGATAAGTGTGTTCAAACCATACGAAACAGGTTTGTAGCAATAAATCAATGGATCATATTCAAAGCGTTTAGCTCAGTATTTTATGTACAAGCCATAACTCACGTGTCAGGTCTTAGTACCACAGGAAAAGCTCATTAATTTGCAGAGTTTGTAAATAATATGTAACTATGCTGTAAATTCAATTTACAGACAAAATGCCATCATRCAAAGTTTGTAAATTTTATGTGCATTCTGTAAATTTCTTGTAAATTTTTCTCAAACATTGTAAATACCTTGTAAAATGAACTTGAAATTTTGTAAAAGGACATTTTGTCTTTAAAATTAACAACAGCAGAAAAATACAGTAAATATACAGACTGCAAATTGATCAACTTTTCCATTGTACTACGTACAATTATAATATAATATCTGATATAATTCCCCCAGGAACTTTTAAAAAAGTCTCACTTGGTTTCTAATCCTGTTTCTTTTCAGTTATGTTTTCAACACTTTTTACTTATATTTTCTTGTGAACGATAAGTTACAGTCGTTTTACGAGACCGTTTTCTAGGATTTATTATGTGCCCATTATGCCCAATATCCATTGGACAAGCATTATTTTATTATATGTAAATAATATTATATTTTCTTTAAGGTTCGAATTCTCCTATTCATCAGTTTCTCCGCTCTAACGTCAAGAGCACTATAGACATATGTTTATATAAACAAAAAACCTTGCAAATCAATACAGATTATTTTCAATAAATTATGGGTTTTTGTGTCGCTAGATGCTTAGTTTTCCTGTGTTATTCGCAACTTTTCGACACATTTTACGATCCGAAAACCTACAACATCGTTATTAACCAAAATACATCTTCAAAAATACCGGCAAAACAATTTCAAAAGCTACATTATAAWTTTTTTTCAAATGCCTAGATTACCCTGTTGAAGTTAAACAACATTTGACGAAACCTGGGCATGCTGACGCAGAAATTTGATTTTGGGTCTCATGTTGCGGTGTTATACTACTAAATCAGTTACAAAACCTCCCCATTACATATGTTTCACAACAGTTTTYGTCTGAAAGTTTATGCGCATGATTCATAACGTCACACGTCTTGATTAACGCTAGAGGTCCCCAAGATCGACTCAATAACACATGACTATTTGYTTAAATGCTGGATGGCTTAGATATAAGTAAAAATGTCAATTTTGAATAAAAATAACTGGTGTAAAAGCGACCAGCTTCCCATAGAGCTTTCAATAAGATGACAGTTTTTCCTTTGGAGTAATTGCAGCTAATTTTAGAACATCTAATGTAAAGAATAAAAACCTGGGAGACTTTGGCATTTTCTGAATCGTAACTACGGGAGCAATCTGCCACTTTTCTGATCAACTGAAGGGCCTTGTCAAGCTGGCTGACAAAGAAGGGAAATTTATACGTCCTAGTTTAATACTTCCAAGAGCATGCAGTAACTAGGGGTGGGCCTTCACTTTACAATATCATTTCAAAAAACAAATGAGTTTTTAAAGTGAATATATTTTTGGTGTCACTCGACTGCAGGGACGTTGTCACACAGACAGAAATAATAAAAGTTAGAATAATATTTACAAAAAGAGATTGATTAAAATACAAGCAATATTAAAAACAGAATACAAAGAGACTAGTTCATCATGCAATACAATATGTGTTCATTTAGTACCTAAATAATAATTTGTAATTCTTTTTATAAGACAGTTTAGTTTATAACCATAATAACCCTATAGTGAACCAGAGGTAGGCAGCCATTTCATKAAAAGTAGCTTTTAATCAATTTAAAGGTCAAATATAAATGATATAGTTGACTAAAATGGAAAGAGCCGCTTGTTGTTTATTTATATTTTCAAATGTTTATTATTTACTTGATATGGAAATACGTTTTCAATACGTTTTAAWTCRGGAAAAACGAAAAATAAGAAAGGTAAGGAAGTTTTAAACCCAAAAACAAAAAAACAGTATTATTCTTAGAGCTAGTTCACAGGTGTTGCATAATGCCATTAGATCCAATTTATATAACCGGAGACAAGAGTTCGTAACATYTCAGTTTGGATGTCATATTTCCACATTTATCGAAATGAGCATTCATTGACATTTACTCTGAGATATTTCCCTCAAACATCAGTTATCTAGAAACCAATTACGACAAATGTTGAACAGCAGTATTTGTCCAATACATGCTTTTTCATATATCAATTTTAAAAAAGAACCGTATAAAACGTCCGGTTGTGTCTCTGTCCTCTGATGTAAATACTGTGGGAGATGAAAAGCACTCGATGCTCGAGAAGCAAGAGAAACACTCGCTACGCTTGTGTTTCTGAGCTTGCTTCCTTCGTGTTTTTCAACTTCCACCGTGTTTATATCAGAGAACAGAAATACYTCTCCTTTTATATTTCTTAATACCGTTATTGTCTATTTTCAATTGCGGAGATAATTTTTGATCTAAATTAAATGAAACTGAAGGCATTGACGCACGGAATACATTAGATTAGCACAACTTTCTTGAATCATAATGAAAGGACAACATATATAGAGGATATTACATGGGCGCGCGAAGATACGGATTTTATCTTCGGGTGTTATCATATAATTGAGTATGAAAGCAAATTATGTGGAAAGATCCCTTTTTTCTTGCTTCTACTATATAGAGAAACCTCGATTGTGTTATTTTCACTAGTGAAAATATCAGCTTTATGAAAATGAGAAATATATGATAAAATGGGATAAGATATGATATGCACTGATGGTCTGATATGAGATATGCCTTAAATTATTGTCTACCTATGAACGATGAACAGGTGAAAATAACTTAAAAAGTACAGTCATTAATTAATTGGCCATTATGAACACCCGACATCTTGTAAGTCGATTTATATGAAGAAATCCAAGATGGCGGTGTATGAAGTCTTGTTTTTTCATGTTTGGATTATCATTAATTATTAACTATAATCATTATTACACTATTGATATTAACTGCTCATCTTATGACAGTTTTCTTTTAAAGAATCATAACCACCCGCCGTACCTTGCKAACCGAAGCGCCATTTTAGGTGGACACGAAAATGGCRGATTYGTAGGATTTCTTAAAGTGAGCGSRAATCGTCTTCCGTCCTTTCAGTTTGGACAGAAATACCTTTAACTAAGTACCTCACAGGTACTATCAATCTATAATTTATTGTATGCTTGACGCATTTAAACGTATGTAAACAATAATACGAGCGCGCAAGGTACGACGGGTGGTTATGATTCTTTAAAAAGATGTAACACTTATTTTGATAAACGAAAAGTAGAAAAACTTCACATCCACAGAACAATTCCCAACAATATGGTGCCAATATGTTGCTTTTGYCCTATGGTTGATATGGAGAAAGAAATTACCAAAAAAAAATTTAGATTTGCTCTTAAAGCAGTATTAACGTCACTTTGTAGCCTCTGGACATCGTTTATTATATTCTAGAGTTCTAGAGACAATTGAATTCAAGTTAGCTGTTATAATGGTTGCTAAATGGACACTATGTTCAGTGTTTTCAACAATTTTTGCATATCAGGGAGTTTTAGTTACGACAAACGCCACTTTTCATCAAATTGGTGCATTATTACAGAGATATACAGTTTGCGCATAACACACAGATCAAAAAGTCCGAAAAGTTGATCCAAAGCAAATGTTTATATACTATACTCTATTTTGTCCAATCGATGRTCTTTTTTCTAAACTGGACTTAATTTGCTAAATTAGGTATTTTCAAACGTATTTTTGAAGAACTAAGAATAGTCAGTTGTTTCAAGTGTCTTTGTGTTAGAACACAATCGAGACTTTAAAATACTAAACTGCAAATGAGTTAGAGTAATTATATAAAATTCACCGCAAAAATACAGCAAAATGAATTATAATGCAACATCTTTAATGCCAGACTAAAAACACTACGTGAATATCGAACTTAAACAATTCTAGCCAAACCTAAAGCAATTAATTTATAATCAAGAACACTCTTGCATAAGTGTCCAACCAAACGACGAAAGCTGACCAAAACACTATCAATAATTTGTGAATCATCGAAGAAATTAAAAATTCAGAATTAACACAAAATAATTAATAATAAGAAAGGTCTATATTTAATAGACTTACGTGGAATCTTTACAAGTATTAAAAAGAATAATAAAAACGAAGAAGGATATATATGTACATTAACATTATGTATGAAGAAAAAAGAACAGCTGGAGAGATTGTCATTGATATGGCTTTTGAAGTTACAATATATCGGTGCATTGAGTTGAGAATGTTTGTAATGACCAGTCAAACGGATCAAACACCAAACAATGCGAACAAAAGATATTTTGGTTAAAGTATGATAGCGGAATGTTTGATGGACTTTAGACTCTGTCTTAAAGCATCGAATACTGAGGAGTGGTGGCGACCGACAAGCAATATGAAGAACTTTGCGAGATAAAACACTCATTTCGTTTTTTGCTTCATCTTCAAAATATTCTGCTAAAGTAATCACGTAAACTTGATAGTTTGTACATGCAAGRAATGGAAATAAGGCTAGAAAGGAAAATTAATCAGAGTGTTAACACTTCGATAATTGAAATTTCGCCGCCTCGAAACATAACTGATATTTKAACAATTGTTTTTACTTKAACATCATAAATACATTGTGGCTCAACACTTACTCACAAGGAAGTGCAATAGAAAGAAAACAAACAAACAAACAATGAATAAATAGCTAAATTTCTAACAGTATATGCATCGCTAGTTTTACCAAACTGCATTGGTAAGATGACATGGAAGACGAACACATGYTACRGTTCATCTTAKGCCACCTGCCTTGTATCATATCTGAYCGACTTCCGCTCAAATGATTTTTTAAAAAACTTCAGTCTTTCAATGCAGTATTCCTAGAAATACGCCAATCTTTTTACATTCGAAAATATTAGCTCAAACTAAAAGAACTGAAGTAATAAAAATATCTCACAAAGATAGACATTTTCCTGTGCGGGTGAAAAACYTTTTCTGATCCTGACATTTTTATTACACAGCTCTCTATTGTATTTGCTTCGGATATTTAATTGCAAATGTCAGAATACATCACRCCTATTTGAAAACTGATGCTAAAATTGATCCGAATTTCAAAAGAAACAGTTTCAAATGTATATATATGTATATATAAAATAAAATAGAAAATTACAGAACAAACAGCTCCGACTTTTATATTGTCGTTGAGCACTTTTTTAGTTTTTTGATGAAATTTTTCATATATATATGTATATATATTGTATATATATTTATACACTCACCGTCTATGGTTTGGGCCTCCAGACAATATGGCTCGTTCACTTGGAATTTCTCATAGGATAGTCTCAGAAGATTAAGTTTTAAATAATATTTGCCGTAGTCTAATTGTCGACTGACGAATCAGGGAAGCATTGAAGAGGTCTGTCAATGATTCAGCCTACCAATCATTAGTGGAGCTTCGCTTAGTTTTTCATTATTTGCACAAAGAACCACTTATGTCAAAAACAGTAAGAAAAGTTTGTATTGGATAATGACAACAAAGCCAGGAGTATTATATGCTGATATTCTGTCTCAGTTATATTGTTATTGAATACAATATTTTGCTATTATTGATTTGGATGTTATTTGTGATCAAAGGAATTATTTGAAAACTATTAACATTTATACTCTAACAAATTACAAAAAGTATTAAATTAAATTTAGTGATCTTTCGGTCTCTAWTTTAATGTTTTTCTCTTTTTTAACGTTTTATTTAGCTTTATCTACATATACAAAGAAAAGTTGAGCTAATATTTCCTGGATTGGGCCAGGGACTTGTTCAAATATAATGACTTATGTTAAACGATATSTGTGATATCAATAGGGTCGATTTGATTGGATGTCGCATCCATATCTTTCATCAATCCAAGCCAAACACTTGTTTTACTTTACAAAACAAATCCGGCTTTTGCTCTGTGGTCTTCATGTAAGACTTCCTGTACCATATGAGTCATATGATTTACAGTTCTGAAAACTCTTACCTCAGTGACAAAAAGCGATGATTATAATACGGTCTCTCAGCTTGCTGTACAGAATATCTTTTCCATGATATCATATCGACGAAGTGCATTTGATTCCCTCTCGTGATCTTGTTGAACTGTTGTCGTGATACTCTGTAATATCTCAATTAAATATTGCCATGGCGGGAAGCGACGTTCCCTTCCTGCATCGTGCCGTATTTGTGAGGCCCCGGGCCACGAGATTGTGATCTTTATCATCCCACACCGTATACAAATCTGATGCCTATGTATAAATGCAAATAATATGTGCATATAGTTCAACAAATTGATTTGGTTTTTGAAAAACCAAAAGCTATATTTGACGRTACCAATTACTTCAAACGAATGACATTGTTTTGTGGCCATCACACAGRACAGTTATTTCAAAGTAGTCAAAGACTCACAGCTAGCATTTATCATCGACATAACATTTTGTAATTAAATGACGTTTGCGTCGAGTTGTCGATTCCAGACATATATTATATTTGCCTTCATATCTCTCTTTGCCCAGTATGAACTCTAAAACATAATATCTCACTCTTTTATTAGAGATTTCAAGCAGTAATTAATCAAAAGATTAGGTACAGTTTATGAATATGTATAAAATTTTTGTAAATAGCTRTTTCAGCTATCTGCTGAAAAACACCTGCAATCCAAACAAATCACCATCAAAAATCTTTATTTGATGGAAACGACATTTATCAATAAGTTATTATTTTAATAATTAAAATACCTCTCGTGAATGTATATTGTCATCAATAATCCATATCCGCATTAACTTGCGGTCGTCGATTCGCTTTTCGTCGGTGAAAATGATATTTCGTTGTGTTGTTCTCATTTGCTCTAGACCTTCAACTTCCAATAATAATGAGTCGTGATAATAATGAGTTGTGATTGCTTTTTTGTCCCACAAATGTTCTCTTGTCGAAAGTTACTTTCTGATTGCTTTAAAAGCAAAAATGGGGAATTTTTATATGCGATAAAATCGCCAAAAGGTTTTCGGAACATGTACGTGGAGTGAGCTATTTGGACGAAAATTGCGAAATATTATAGAAAAGACTTGAAAATCAAATACACCAGTCTATATTTATKATATAGCTTAGATAGTACGCGCGCACCGATTGGCTGAAAGCCTATACTAGAAAAATCTATGCTCTATTTCGCCGGTAAAGTCACGGGTCGTTCCCTGGTAGCGAAAAAACTACAACATTACTCTCAATAGACCTAATCGGCTTCAACCCAATTCGAGGGTCTCAATGGGGTTAACCGTGAGCCGTSAAACGGCTAAAAAATTAGCCGTTAGTCGTGAAAATGCGAAAAAATTAGCCGTGAGGCGTGAATATTTTTTTATAGCGTGAGCCGTGATTCAGTTTTGTCCCTCAGAAGGACAGTCAACTCCGATGTAAATTTAAAAAAATAAAAGCTTCAGTGGAGATTTTTCACAATTTTTTCTCGGTCCGTTCAGGAATTGTTTTCCCTAAATCTTTCACTCTTCCACCCCCACCCCCTCAAAATTCTACTGGATCGTACATCGAAGACTTTGAGTGGGAGCCGATCATATAGCCACTTCGTAAAAAAAAGTCGGTTCTCAGGAAAGTTCCAAACACAAGAGATGACAATAATTCTGCAAAAAAAAAAAAAAAAATAAAAAAAGAAGATAAACAATAAATAAAATAGAAATGAAAATACACAATGAGTAAACGTCTCGTCCAGGGAATCGATCCCGATACCGTCAAACCTACATTGGATTTGCAAACAGCGCCTTAACGCGGTGCGCCACTGAACCACACTCATTTACATAATAATAGACCACTTGGCACTTTCACCGAATAGACTACCCCAAATTGACATTATACTTTCGATAGTTGCCTAGTTAGTGCAAGGGGTTATCCATCAGTGTCTAGGGGCCGGATAGCTTCTCCCTCACTGGCTTTTTAGTTAGCGCGAAGTTAGGACCAATTATCGGGATAGCATGGAAGAGCCGAAATCTCTAACCKGAATGTAAATCGATTCGCCGCCTCAGCTTCACAGAATGTCTCGGGGGAATCGTCCCAACCTTTTTTCGATTTTATGGTCATGGGTTCGAATCCCACCACTCAAGTTTTTTTCTTTTTTCATATTTCTTTTTTTTTTCTTTTTGTTGTTGTCTTTGATTAGCTTAATTCCTACATTAATGATTGTTTGCAATATCTCCAGAATCATTTAGTAATTATTTCTATATATTTCTATGATGTGATATTTTAAAGCGCGCTTTCATTGGCTTTTCTTCATTAAACGCCAGGTTTTCACAGCGCGGCGATTTCGCAACCGAGAATCAATTTTTAAACAGAGTGGCCGAGTTATGTTTTCTATTCGTACGGACATTGTACCTGCTTGCGCTTATGTTGCAATGTGAACCGCTGTCCCTTCAGTGGTGTTCAGGGGCTCCATATAGATTTAAGTCATTTACCCATCCAAGGGTACGAATTCTTCCCCTCGCTCGAAATATTTCTCGAAAGAAAGTTGTCTGAAATCGTATTACATTTGAGTTGTAACTACTGGATCGCAAGGTAATTAGGTCACCCTTACAATCTGCACATGGCTTAAAACAGCAGTTTGCCTTCTTATACCCAGCAAAATGTTCCATTGTTCAATCTCATAATTAAATCATTGTCCTATGACCAAACTCTAGGAAACCTTTCGTAACCGATATGTAGTTAAAATCAATGAACTGCGATTCTTTGCAGTTGTCTGGTACCAGCTCACAAGGACCTGGGACTGACCGTCACGTTTTAGAAAATTGTATCAAAATTTCTATTCATTTYGTTTATTTGWTTTAACGATGTTGGATCTCCAGCCAAATGTAAATGGCAGTGCCATTTTGCTTTGCTCTCTTTTTTTCTGTTATTCATTTTTTTAATTAATTAATCAAAGTTTTAATAACATCTTGACAGATGACAGACAATACTAAAATTGAAGTTTATTTCAAACGCATTTAAAGCTACCTAAATAGTATCTATATCGAGTTTGCTTAAGGATTTCGTGCACCTTCAATTCCATCTGCACGTTGCTCTTTGTTTGTTTGAGCAAAAAATAACTTTTTAGCTGCTTCACGAAAGTCAGTCAAAAACATGACATATATCAAGGGACTGAGRCAGGAATTCAYAACAGGAAGAAAATAGTAGAATGAGAAAAGTAGGTCCAACCAAATTAAAACAGCCTTTGTAGAATAATATCCTGTGGGAAGTTTGTCCCAGTTTTTGAATGACCAAATCCAATATATATATGAAGGGAAATAGCAAATGGTAAATGACAAAGATGRAGATAGAACCATTTTTACAACYTTYYTTATTCTCAACTCCCTTGCTCTCCTTTGCGCTGYTGGGATATTTCCATCGATTGGTTTTGGCTTAGATATTCTTCTGAGAGTCATGAGTGTGAGAASTATAGTGCTAACTAGCATTAAAAGAAGCAGTACACCATGGCAGATAGCATATWCCACTACTGAAGTGGTCGACACATCTTTGTAGACACATGYGATAAAATCTCCATAATAACTGGTCGGAATAGCAGACAACAMAAAATACAAAGCCATTCCCAATGAAATTAACCAAGTGAAGGCAATTACATATACACGTTGTTTTAGCGAGTAAGGYAGTGATCTTTGTGCAGTCATTGTTGWTGYCCGGAAACGTTCAATGCTGATTACCAACAAAGTAAGTTGAGATGCAACCACAGCAACTTCTTTCAGGTATCCCAAAGATTTACAATACACAATAGCGAGATGAGGTGTSAAGAACTTCAGCCTGTTTAACCGAAACGTTTCAAGTAAAGAAACTGAAGACCTACTAAAGATGGTCAAGATATCTGCAATTGCCATGTTGATGATCAAATGATGAAGGTTTTTCCTGGGAGTATATTTGAAAGCGAGGACGACGATTGCGATGTTACCAAAAATGCCCAATCCACCGAATAGTATAACAGCCATTGCTTGGCAGGTTCGTTCGATTTCTCTTTTTTCTGAGAAAATCATCTCGAATAAATCCTTGCTTTTATTATAACCAGAAGTTGCATTCATGATAGTTAAATATTGCCCGAAGAAAATGTAGTTCAAGTACGTATTTGGTTGACCTTTCGCTTCAAGATTTTCACTTACTTCAAATGGTTTCTAATACATATACTTCTAGTGATCCCTAACCAGATGTAAAATGAAAATGAAGTGCTGTCTTGGCCCTTCCACTTTAATACGCCTAAATTCTTCATCCAAAAAAGCGCCCATTGATATAATTGCTGAATGTGTTTTCAAGATKTAATAACACAATGGCAGATGGTAGCCGATTGTTGTTAACTGAAAGCGTTTTTATGAAAGCTTCTAATTATTAAGCAGCTTTTAGTTGATCACGGTTTACAATAAGATAGATATAAAAAGATATATATAAATGCGGAAAAATGATTCTACAAGCAATTCTACCACCAACAGTCTACAGACCCCTTGCATGTGACAACAAAGCAGCTTCATTTGGAGGACCAAACAAATACGTTTTGGGCTCTTTGGGACTAGAATTCATTGTTTTGTCCTCCACTGAGTTGTTGCTGCATTCCCATGGRCTTCAAGGAGTYTATACATTTTAATTGCTATTAACAATCATAACATCAATAATTCAACGCTCGGATCAAAGGAATTTTACCTAAGGTTTTTGAAGGCACTTCCGCTATATTTGTTAAGCATGCAGCTATAGACCCCTTGCATGTGACGTCAAAGCAGCTTCATCTGGAGGACAAAACAAAAGATTTTTAACCTCTTGGGAACTAGAATCCATGATTGTTTTGTCCTCCAGTTGGAGCTGCATTCCCATGAACTGCAAGGGGTCTATTTTGGGAAACGTTGATTAATACTGAAGATAGTTTATTCCAAGACCAAAATGCATTGTTGGGCGTTCTATCAAGGTTTTGCAGTTCAATTGAGAACTACAATGAAAAAGAAATATATTCTATTTTCTGGCCAATAGGGTCCAGATGCATTTGAGTTCTCTGAATTAAGTTTACAGATGCTATTTACAAGTCAGATAACATTTCCATTGTACGTAATAAAATAGACAATTCTATGCCTATGGAGAACTCAACTATTAATTGTACATCATATTGGTCCACAATCTACCAAGTCTGAGGTATCGACGTAATATAAGCACATTTTAAAAGTCCGATTAGACGCACTACAGTCCTCTGATGTTGAACTGATCGAGGCACTACTCTACATGTTTATTGATAACTTGCCGAATGTGATTGGAAGATAAGTCGTTAGGCTCTGCACTCACAGGAAACCGATCTAC